CATGGTCTTGTTGTGTGCGTAATATATTTTATTTGTTCTTGTCATTTCTTACGCACAAAAGTTCTGTCTTTTATTTAATTCCCTTCCTGATTATGTCTCACGTCCCAACATATAAAAGAACCGATTACACAACGTAGGAGTTCAGTTCATTCGTGCCATCCATATCGAGCCGACTGCCATCCAAATTCAAAAGTGCCGCGAAACGTCCAACGTTTCAACTCGAAAGGTAGGTGGCTCTGCTTGTAGTTTTTCCCAGTTGCTATCGGTAAGTAAAGGGTAAGTCAACGTTTACAGTGTCGGCTTGATAGACCCCTAGGAACATTACAAAACGTACGTCACAAAAGTGCCCACCAACAAGGGACGAGTGATAGCACGAAAAATCATTCCCAAAGTTGGACACATCTACTACACAGACCGTTCTGCAACCGAAATGGAGTGGGTATTGGAGATATTGGGCGGAAGGATGTAGACAGTCTCTCAGTCTCGGCCATTAGCAACAATATTCCAAGAGAATCTCGATAGTCACTGACAGTCAGGCAAGCAATTAAAGATCCAAACTCCGGCTTGATGCTGGAGTACATCTGAAACCTTACCCGGCTGGCGGAAAATAATAACGTCAAGCTGAAGTGGGTGCACGGGCACACTGCTCTTAAGAGTAACGAAATGGCCGACAGACTGGCTAAGGAAGAGTGAAAACCATTTTGAACGAGACAAGTCAAAGCTCTACTAGATCTACCTCCATTTGACGGGTTGAAGACCTGCTGAAGTTCAGTAAGAATCATTTATAGCTATTCACAGGGGGCACTGTCAAATGAAAAGACATCTGCACAAAATGGGCCTTGAAGCAGACACTCTGTGAAGGAGGTGCGGAGAGGAAGGAGAAACACCTCTACATAAGCATAATACAGTGCCGTTGTGAGGTGTCTAATACTTCAGGGCACAGGTTCCTTGTGTAGCCAGGAATACCTCAAAATGCTCCACCCGCAAAGATTATGAACAGACGTCTTTAGGGAGTGAGAATATAGGAAGCACAATAGACTCTCAGGATGACGGTACAGGCACTAAACTAGGATACTGTCGCTGAGTTTAAGTAATAAAACACCAAAACATCGGCAAAAAATGTCAATAGCCACATTTGTCACGTTCGAAGAGCTTCAACGTGGAGGAGGTGGTAGACCCACAAAAAACAAAAGCACAACCAAGAAGCTTCTCAATCTATAAGCATAGAGTACGCATACGGAAAGGGGTGTTCGAAACGGAAAAGAGTCGCGTAACCAAAGACTGCCCTTCCACCAGCTCCGCACTAGGACGCCCACTTCTGTGTTGGTGCGCGTAGGATGTGGCAACACCGATGATATTAGGAGTCAGTGCCCGAGCTTCCTCATTGACCAAATGAAACACCAGCTGGCCGACATCACAATCATTGTACCTGGACGCCATAATCGTATTATCCAAGCACTTCAAAACGCACCTGAACGACCTCGCTGCCTTGCTCAACCGTGATGCAACCTAAAGGCACGAAGGTCACTTTTGAGAGGCGAATCCGCTACTTGGGACACATCATCACTCTCGCTATCTTAAGTGCTAATCTCGCCAAGACCGCCCGCCACCATCATCGATCACCTATCACTCAAGAACCTTAAGCATCTTATGTCACTCTTGCAAACCCATCCCTGGTACAAACGTTCCGATAGACATATATTCTAAGTCAAGTCGGCCCCATACTATCCTTCCTTATCAGGGCAGACATCGGACTAACGCGAAGGGTTCTGACTTTGTAAGTTTATGACATCGCATGCCAAAACATTCCCAGGAAGAGGAACGTAGTCGCAGACGTCCTATCACGGCCACAGTTCGCCAGCAAGAACAAGAGCACATACTCGGAAACCACCACGCGGAATGCACCAGCAGCGCACCTCTCGCTACTAGTGGAAGGGAATGAGACCACAAACTACTGAATATGTCAAAAATTGTGTGGTGTATCAGAGGTAAAAGACATTGAACCACAAAATCACCGCTCCAACAAAGAATTTCGAGGTCACAAAGCCCAGAAAACCTGACGTCACGATGGGCTGTATTGTTCTCCCTGGCCCAAACAACCAGGTGCGTGCAAAAATACCCGATTCGAATCCGTAGTGACAATGCCGCTTAGTTCGTGAGTACCACGTCACACATTGTTTAGGGGTCACAATCAAAACCCGAAAGTGGATGAACCGAGATTTAAGGTCATACGGATTGTCCAAATAAACAACAATTTGTTTTATTAAAATAAAAGAGTAGACTGAATTTATAAAGTAAATATAATTATGTTTTTTCTTAATTTAGGTTTTCATTAATAGTGAATGTTTGCTTTAGATTTTCATTTATATGTGTCTGATTCAAATTCTTTAGTGTTACGGAAATCTCGTGCTTGATTCTCCCGATGTAATTATGTAAGTGGATTCGATGTAATTTTGTTTTACCTGTACCTGCTATCTTCATCTATAGCAAGCATGATTTTCATATAGTTTCTAGTTTTAGCCCGAGGAAATTGCCCCAAACATAATAATATTCATAAGAAGTATAATTATATATACTTACTAAAGTATTGGCTGTATTTTAAAGAGGGTGGAATTTGAGTCGCAATTACGAATTCGAATCTTTCAATTTGTTCAAGTTGTTGACTAAAATGAAACACGGGTCGAGTAAAATTCACAATTATTAATTTACTTTGGTAAAAAAAGGGTCGTAATATTGCTAATGCTCTATTTGAAAGTCTAAAAGAGATAAAATATAACATCAATTTATTTAAAATAGAAGCTTCAAAGATCTGAAGCTTTATCATCAAAATGAAACTAATTTAAATTTATTAAGGAATATTGATTTTCTCAATTCCTGCATTACAAATCTGCTCCGTCTTGATATTGCTACTACGATCAGGTATCAACATCTAAAAATGATAAACCTTTCGGTTTGCGATATCTCCCCTAAGCCCAAACAGTATTAAAGTGACGCGAATAAAAAATACAAGATATTCGAACGGTTACTTTGACGGTTTTACATCACGTATGAAAAAATATTCCCCCAGGAAGTGGAAGTTGAAACACCTGCTCCAAAACATCCATTTCGACTGCTCATATATTTTTCAAGATGAATTTATATGGCTTCGCTATGACTGAGACTTACACGAAGAGACACAAATGCGATTTTTTTTTACAGAAACTCGTTCAATTTCAATTTTATTTGATCGCTCTTTCGATTGATCAAGGGTAGGTTCCCTTAACAAAATATGGAATATTCCAACAAGATTGTAGCCGCAGTAAGGGTAATTGTCAGCCGACGAATTGTGAATAACGAGGACAACATTTCAAATGTATACCTTTAACAACAAAGAAAGAATCGATTCAATTTTTAATGGTTTTTATGTTGACTCATGCCTTTAATGTGTTACAGTATATAAATATTAGTAAGTCAAACATAGAGGTTCAGTCATGTGCAGATATTCACGGAATTTTATCCAACTTTATTGAAACGAAATATAAAAAGAGCTAATCTTGAGTATGGGCGCATAAAAATAAAATGAAAAAACGAAACTCAAGCCACTTCCCTAATTGAAATTGTAATTCAGAATTACAGACCAACTTTCCAGTTTCTAGTTATATGAAATTAGTACAAAGTGCAATCTCCTTGTTACGTTTGCATTCCGCCGTTGCGCTCCAAATGTATAAATCAACGAAGCTACTTCAAATGAAACAATTTCTCCGTGCAAATTTTCAATTAAACCCCCCAGCGTGAAGCGGAAATTGAAACATGTAGAACGTCACGTCCTAATCTGCTACTAGTTATCTTGATTAATAAATCGAAATCTCAACTTACCGCCCGGATTGATGTTCCGAGGTTGTGGGGTGGTTCCTGCCGTTGCCCCCGACGAACGACGGGACCTAGAATAAGATAATTAGATTATTATCTAATTTCCGCTTCGCGCGAAGTCTCAACAGTATCTTAATCAAGCTAGCTACATGTAATATCGATTGAAACGTGTTGCGACACCTTTGTCACTACTGGCAGCAATGTAGTATTAGTTAAATGAACCAGATGCCGAAATCACTTCCTATCGGTGTCTCCTAGTTTTGATATTTTCCCATGATAACAATAAAAACTGAGCTGTGGTCATTTTTTAGCCAGCTGTCTTAATATTTACAAGTTAGAATCCCATTTGATGCTGTTTGTAATCTAGATCCATAAACACAAAATTCGATTATCAGCTCGCACAATTTCATCTCCAAAATACAAACAGTGCAGGATTTGCAAACACGCGTTGTTTACGTACGGTTTACCAATTTCCCTCAAATCACAAACGTCACGCGTAATTAGTTTGCCTCGGTATCGATTTGGCGTAAACGAATTGATAGACTGAAAATTTACGTTGCGCTTCTCAAAAACATTGATTCGAAAAGAAATTAATGTTGACAAAAGGAGGACGATACTGAAACTCTTAGTAACGTCTAAGTAACTTTTGGCGAATTTACACGACCCAAAATAGGAAATTACGCATTTCGGAGAAGTCGGTGCTAACGATGGCGACGGTTTTAGGAATTCACTCTTCGTTGAATATAATTAGCCTAATGGGAGCACGGCAGCTAATTTTAGACATTTTCGGTTAAAGTGGTCTACATTGAGGTGGCAGTATATTAAGAAACAAAGAGTATTTTGCCCTACAGGGGAGAAAATTGTATAGTCCATGATAAGTATACAATGCACGATACTGAAAAAAATTCCGGATCGCGTTCCTCTATTAATGCCGAAGAGGAAACAGAGAGTCCTTGAGTGAGTTGCAACACGGAGTACGGCTCTGCAATTGCTTGCTCCTCTCCTGAGGTCACAGTAGATTGTTTGCGCCAACGTTGCAACTGTAAGCATTAAATAAATAGGGCAATGATTTGGTCTCTCGTCGTTTAGAAAAATTTTGGAGAATTTTGGGACTTTTGGGTGTGTAGCTTCCAAACAATCCATTTTGGACCTTCGGTTTATTTAGGAAACATCCACGTGAGGATCGGAAACATGATTTGCGACTGGTGTTCGAAGGTGCGCGAGTGGTTGGAGTAAGTATCGACCAATGTGAGCAAAAGCAATTTCTATTTCTCCGAACGGATTTAACTAAAAATTCCATTTGTTTACATGAATAGAAAGAAATCAGATGCCAACTTTTTACTGCCCGTCAATTTTTAACATTGGAAATGTTTATGTTTTCGTATATTTGTACAAAGTTATGAGTTTCGTTCAAGACAACGGTGTCGCATCAAGTCATTATTGTACCGTACTCGGCCGTGATCGGTAGGTTAAGGAAAAGTCGTGTTTGTATTAATTAATTTTGGTTGAAGGTCGCTGTAATTAATTGTTTGAGATTCACTGGCATACTTAAATTGTAACTGTCATGGCATTTTTGGCGACCCCTACTTGGCGGACTCCATCGCGAAAGCTTCAAGACGCATTCTTTGCTTTTTAACTTCCCTCTTGCGGCATTCTGGTTACAAGCACGTTTGAGCGTGGCATGTAGACATATTTTGAATCATAATTATTTTTTTCCGATTTAACCAAAATGGTTGTGTAACAGCTTATTTTCTCATGTACGGACTAATTATTTTTGGTTCACGGCCACTGTAATTAATTGTTTGAGATTCTCTGGCATATTTAAATGTCGTTTACTGGCGTCACCTGCCGGCGATTTTTCCACGCAAGTCTCAAATTCTCCGGCATTCGAGTACAAGCACGCTTCAGCACGTAAAATAGGGTGCAGAGTGATGAAATACATGAGGTTCTAACAATTTCCAATTATTTATTGAACCTATATTTTCTGGATCCCCGATTTAGTTTGGACGGGTTTCTGCATTTTTCTCCGAATTTGAGAGGCTATATTTTTGGTTTCACTAATTACGCAAGTACGGCCATTTTGTCTTATCCACCTGGTTAATTTTTGCATTCTTTTAGGCTCTGCCCATTGGATGTTCGAAACTATTTCCGCATTTCAGTCCATCGTCGGGGTAATTTCAGTATTTTATGAGTAGCCCTCTTATATTAGAGGTAGGTTATGCTACCTTTAGAGGGGGGGTATTATATGTCGATATTTTGTTCATGGTTTCAATTATCGTTTTAATTTTAATTACACGCTTTAGTCTCCAGTCACGGAATTTTTTCATTAACTCTACGTCCACATTTAATTACGACCACATTCTTATCACCATACCAGTCCGCGGCCATTTTGTTCTCGATGTTACGTCAACACACGATCTTAGTAGATAAGGATTTTGGGCCATTGGGTCAACTCAAATAAACTGCTGGAACCTGGACTCGTAATTCATCCTCATTTTGTTTTTTGGGAACTGGAACTGCTCGTTATTGAGTTAAGGGATTTAATTTTAATGTGTGGGAATTTATTTTGCATGGGTATGGAAAGTTTTAAATTTAATTGGGTTATTAAATTGATTCTGATCGTCGTCGAAGAACAAATATATCAATGTTTCCTTATTGGATTTCTTTGTTACTTCACTTGTATCATACAGGGAGAGTTAAACATTTAAAGCATCTGGGTGGCGCTCAACTTTACGAAGAAGCTGCGAAGGTCTTATGCCCAACCGAATCAAACGCTGTGCAAGCCCTTATTACTTTTACTGGGCTAGCTGACCGTTTAGCTACGTTTCACAAAGGACCGATAATCAGGACCGATGATTCGTCCTATCCAATGCTTTAAGTTGTATCGTTTACATGTTCGCGTACCATCGATCGACCGGTGCAATAGTGCGGGGTTGCGGGCATCGACATTTACCTCTAATCTCGACGCTTGGGCATAGATATGGAACCAGGGCATTGGATCAACCCGAAGAATTAACTCGAGTCCTAATTATTAGATAACTTCCTCTTCAAGGAATATGATAACGATTACGATTACGGCCCGTGTGGCGCAGTTCAGTTGAAGCTGAACTGTGGTGCTAGGGTCCCTGGTTCGAATCCGGGTTCGAGCATGGATATTTGTAAATGTATAGTGGGTTGGGTTGGTAGAGCAGCCTTGGCTGAAACCCCGCCCACTCAAAAATAAAATAAAATAAAAATACTTTCATAGAAATCTAGATCATTATTTATTCTGAGAGGTACACAACCTACGACGATACACACATTTTCGAGAGCTGGCAACGCTGGTTACGTTTGGCATCTTGTTTTTAATGACAGTCACGAAAGCATTGGTCCACAACCGTTTGTTGTTGTTTTGTGTTATTTAACGCAGGTAGTAATCTTTGCATTTGTTTTTGAAATTGACTTGATTTAACCTCAATGCAGAATCACGCATTCGATACCGTTAACCTTTTGTTTGAAATCGTTTACGTTTTTGGTGTAATGTTTGCTTAATTTATGTATGTTGACCAGAAGTAATATTCATATAAATTTTGAGCATTCTTTTAATATATGAAAGTTAACGAGTTGTTCGACGTATAACATTTTCTCCGTGAATGAGATGGTTACGGGGGTGGCAAAAACTGTAACCAAATGAATTATGACACCTGCCGAGGGATGCTCCGGACGAGAGGCGAGATATCTATCTCGGGGGCGAGATTCCGCGAATAAAAACTCTTCACTTTGATATATGAGTTGTGATTCACTGATTTCCACATATTTTGTAATAACATTGAATTTGCCCTACAAGGACATGTAATTTTCCATCCGACTTTTAACAGAAGGGTTTTATTGCACCAAAGATGAATCACCTGTTGTATAGCTACCTTTTTTTGTTACTTGCTTGTACCTCAACCAGTTCATTTTTTTGCAACTTACTTTATATTTATCATGTTTTACTATCAATCAATTGCAACAAATTATCAAGGATCAAAACGTAACACAGTGCTTTACAGAGCAATTATACACGCGTTTCTTCTAGTATTTCTTATGTAATATCATTTAAAAATAAAGGAAATAAAATGAAATCATTATACTCGAATACATTTTTAATTAAGTGGAGTGATTAGTCGTAATTCCATGATTGCTATGGAAATGTCATTTGATGTTTGCTTATAAAAATCACCGTCTTTGTAAATAAAATGACTTCGGTTGAAGAAGATAATCAAATAAAAACATCTTTTGCACCGCTCATTCGATGGCTTGTTGCAGAAGCCGAAAATGTTGGTACCTGCAAAATCCAAATGCAAAAGCCTAAAGTTTTGGAATGGATAAGTAGAAGCATCTTTCAAACAAAGTTATAAATACATCGATAACACTGGTACATTGAAGGAAATCTTCTTTTCTGGTGCGCTCGTACAAAACATCGATCAATACTGCGATTGTGGAATAGATTTGGCAGCATACGTACTCTAAATTACGTACGTTTGTGAAAGCTTCTAACAAAGCATACCTCGAAGGATACGAGCCAAAGACATCTTTTGCATTTGTAGAAAGCGATCTGAGAGGGTTTTTAATTATTTTTCATTTAGGTACAAAATCAAATTTTAATGCACGCGCTCGCGGTGCTGATGAGGGTGTTGATTCTTTTTTTTTTGTTAAGATTCTAATTATTTATTATAGACGTATGTGGGTATGCACAATGCAATGAAAAGAGAAAACTGACAAACACACGCTAATGTTTGGCACGCATATTATCTTAAAATGCTATTTGAATAATGATGCCATTTTTATTGGCCATAAGTTCTTTGTTGGTGTTCTTGTTATTTTTTTACCTACGGTTTTCTCCATTTCCCACACTTTATTGTATCTTAACAAAGGTCCTTTTCAGAACTATTCCTTCCTGTGTAGATTCATTTGCATTTGTTACACTCCGCGTATCGCCAACGTGATATCTATTCATGACAAAACCTTACGCACCCAAGCACAGCAACTTGTCCTGAATTTACTGGACTGTTTTCAACGGGAGAAGGAAAACCCTTCATCTTCCTATCTT